ATTTCGGGGGTGGGGTTTCTTGTTGGTCCACATTTGTGAATAATATACTATTATTTTTACTTTTGTTATGTAAATTTAATTTTAGAATATTTTTTGATTTTTTTTGAATAAGTTAAGTTAACCATACCGTTTTTCACTAGCATTTAACATTTTTTAGTTTATTTTATTTCACTAAATTTCATATTAAATAAAAAAAAATATTTTGCGTCTTTATAACAAAACTCGTTTGGGTGCTTTACCAACTTTTAAGCGTACTTTAACGACCTATTGTATTTTTTTGTTTTTTAATGTTGGTGATAATGGCGAACATGCAACAATCTTGAGAGTTTATAAATTCTAACTTTTTCTCTTTTTTTCCTTGTTGGCCCATGAAAATGAAATGAAAGGAGGATTAAAAAGCAAAAATCTCAAAGTACACGTTTTTATTTTAAATTGAAATAAGAGATCCTAATTAAACATAAAAAAATACAAATTAACTCACAAAAGTAACAAAAAATAAAATAATTTTTGATACTTACTTTTTATTGTTACAAATTTAAACAGGAGATAGAATATTCATTTTTAAAACAAAAATTTTCTATGAAGGGGTGCGTCTTTTAATTGTTTTTTTTTCCATATTTCCGAAATCATTTTAGAAAAAAATTTCAAAATTTGGTACAGATAATTTTTATACACCTAAACAAGTACAAAAATAAAATGTTGAAATTTTTAATTAGGGGCTTCCTAAACTAGATGGGATTAGGGTAAAAATTTACTCTATTTTGCCTGTGGTTTCTTGCCACTTTCAGCAACAAAATTTCATAGTTTTTCATAAAAAAGGTCTTTTGTGTTTTTTCGATACAATTTACGGATTTTTAATAAAAATCGGTTTAAAAATTTATGTTACAGACCATAAAAATTAAAAATTAAATTTGTTTTACCGTTTAGGACGCCCCTGATTAAAAATTTTGTTATTTGGCATTTGTTTAGGTGTACATATAAAGGTACCAAATTTTGTATATTCTGAAATATTAGGAAAAACCCTTTAAAAAACGCACCTTTTTTAGGGGGTGTAGCTCCCTTTCATAGCATTTTTCGAAACACTTTTGTCTTAAAATTAAATATTCTATCAACTATTTAAATTTGTACCTAACAATAAAAATGAAACACTGTATAATTAACACATGAAAAATTAATTCACAAAAATTTAAAATTAATAACAAAAAACTAAATTTTTAACACTTATACCAGTATATAACAAAGTGCTCAGCATTTTTTTTAATCCCCCCCTTGGGTACGGCCCTGGTGCATTAATTAGGGCAATGATTAAAGTAATGTAACAGAAATGAGGAATGTAAATAATAGTAGTGACTAATATATTGAAATTTATACATAGTTAAAATAATATTTCTAAGTTTTTCTCTGATGAATAAGTTTCAGATAGTATTTTCAACAATCTGTTTTTTGTTATAATTGGTATTTTAACGATGAATGTAAAAATTAAATTAAAAAAAAAAAATGGTTAAAAAAGCCGTTAAAGAATAATTAAATCCAACTTGCAGCATTACAAAATGCACCAAAAATGTTTTTTTATCGTCAGATTATCACACAAATTTCAAAATTTTCTTTTATTTTCAAAATTAAATAAATGTCACTCAATTTTTACCGAAAAATATTTTTTTGCCCTTTATTGAAATTGTGGTTACTGTGTCAAAATTGAACCACCATGTCAACAGAGCAGCATGTCTGAAGAATAATTACTACTGTGCTAAGTAGCTAATTTGTATTATTTAATAGAAGGCGAAAATAATACATATTATATATTTTTTTTTTTTTGGTAGTTTTAGCTAAATCAGCGTGTATCATTTTTTTAACCACAGTGATACATTTTTGTTCTAGTCTAGACCACAACTTTCATTATTTATTTAACATTTTATTACAAACAAAATTATCTCTTGTGGTAAGATAGTATTATTGTGGTTACATTTTGATGAATAAAGAAATTTAATCGTGCGGTAAATTCATAGGTTTTTTTATATACTTTGAAAAAATCAAGTTTATTGATACTTTAAATGATTTGTTTACAATTTTTTAACATACTTATAGTACTCTATAATAAAATTTAAAATTGGGAAACAACCAAATTAATTGTTATTATCAAATTAAATTTGCTATCAGAAAAATCTTAACGTTAAAATTACTGTCGTAATTCTTGTCATTTTATAGCTATTAAGACAACAAGAGTTTTATAGACACGTTTTTTGTTCTATTAAACTTGTGTTGCCTTCGAAATTTTTTCCAACACTAATATTGGATCACAAATGTCACTAAATTTAGAAATTTGCCAAAATGTCAAAATTATTTTAGTGTATTTAACTTACTTATAAAATACGATGTATTTACGACGTATTTCATACAGGGTGATTTTTTTAAAAAAGGCAGGCGCTGTAGAATTTTTATTTATGACTCGATTTCAAAAATTAAAAAACTAAATTAAATGAATTTTAATATAGTATAAATTGACAATTTTAGAATTT